CGGACGGGAGCCGCCTGAGCTCCTGCGGGTCGCGCTAGGCTGCCCCAGGGCGTGAGCTGGGAGGAGAGGGGGCCAGGGCGTGGGGCCAGTTAGATGGGGAGCTGAAGAGCCGAGCGCTGGCCAGAGCCTGCCGGCCCTCGCCGAGGCCCTGGTGTGCCGTGCCAGGCTGCCACCGACCTGCGGATTGACCTTCTTGAATGATGCTTCACCCCACCCGGGAGGAGGGGCCGGGCTGAACTGGGACTGAAGCCCCCAGGTGGCTTTGGGAGGTTGTCCCGGTGGCCAGCATCGGCTCCAGGGACCCGCACCGGCAGGGGCTGCTTCCTGCACGTGCGCTTGGTGCCTGACACTTCGGGGCCTCCTCGCTGCATGGGCACCCCCACCTCGCAGGGGTTTCCCAGCTGTCCGGGCCTCTGTCCATGCGACAGAGATCCAGCTGTGCAGGGCACAGGGGTCCTGTGAGACCTGGCTGCTGAGTCGCCGCCCCCCCCATCCCCCGGCCACACCCCAGAGCTCCACTGATCCTCAGTTTAAGCCGTCACTGCCAGAGGCACATTTGGGTCACAACCTCTGGCTTAGTTGGCACCCTGCCTTTCCTGCAGGCCCCTTTTCTCACCTCTCCCCTGTGCTTGGAGCAGGAATCGGGGCGGTCTCAGCCCTCTGCCAGCCCACTGGGGGCAGAGACCCCCTCCCTCATCCCGAAAGCCCTCGTTTGTGGGCAGCGCCCTTCTTGATGTCTGCTGAGTACACTTGCTATGTCTGGTAAGCTGTCTGGGCTGTGCCTGGCTCTTGAGCTGAGGCTCCTGGGTGCTCCAGGCCCAGGCAGGCTATTGCACGGCCTTCCTGTTGAAGGGCAAGGCACTGGCATGGGTTGTACAGTGAGCCAGGCCCTACCGCTCTGACACACACACTTGCTCTCCTGGCACCTTGGCACCGAAGTCCCACCTCCACAAAACCTTCCCTGCCCCTTCACAGCCATCCCGCTGCACTCCTGGCAGGGCAGGGGGCTCCGTGTCTTTAGCTGAGCTGGTCTATCTTGGAGATGGGCTGGGGCAGGCCCTTTCCCCCTCAGCCCAGCCGCACAGCCTGCCTCACTCAGGGGTCTGTCTCCCTGCAGCAGAGGCCTGCGTGGAGCCCCAGATCACCCCCTCCTACTACACCACATCAGATGCTGTCATTTCCACCGAGACCGTCTTCATTGTGGAGATCTCCCTGACGTGCAAGAACAGGGTCCAGGTGAGGCGGTGGGGGCTGGGGTGTGAGGTCAAGACATGGCAAGGCCAGACCCTAGTAGGTATGTATGTAGTTTTACTATAGGGCACATGCTCTCCCCAGAGAGACACAGGGAGAGAGAAAGGGAAAGTGAGAGCGCACTCCCTGCGGGATAGCCATGCCACAATCCCTTCCTCTGCAGATTTTGGCACGTGTCTACACACACCTGGCATGTTTTCAAGCTGGCCATGTGGCATCTAGCCACCTTCACCTCACCACCGGCTGGCCCCTTCCAGCAAACATCTAAAGATAATTGCCTTGACCTCGCTGCTGTGGTGCAGCTCCAAGGCTGGGAGCTCTATGGCCAGCTGTGGGTGTGCAATCCTGGGTCTCCCTAAAACCATGGTGGGCATCTAAGCAGGCGCCCAGGATCCTGAAGAGCTGGAGGGCTGGAGAAAGGGGTGAAGGTCACATTGTGACAAGACACTGTTGAAGGTGCTTCTCTTGCACACGTACCCTGCCATTTAAAAATTATATAGGGGCGTAGGTGGTATGGTGGTTTAAGGGCGCTGGACTCCCACATGGCTGACCATTGTTCGAGTCCCAGACCTGGCAGCTTGCTTTCTCACTTTCCCTTTCTCTCTCCCTCTGTCCCTCTCTGGTCAAATTTAAATACAAAGAAGTAAATAAAGCTAAATAAAATAATTTTCCAGAGAGTGAAGAACTTAAAAAAATAATATAAAGATCATTTTTCCTGCATGTGGCTGTAGTCCAAGGTACTGAGGAGGATGAGAGTTCAAAGCCTGTTTGGGACAACATGCACTGACAGTTTCAGAAAATCAAATAGAATTCTCAGTTGCTTGGTATGACCTGCCCACACACAGTAACCTTGGGTGGGCACCCTCTGTTTCCTGGATGAGTACCTAAATACCTGGGGGCCTGAGAGAGGGTAGGGGTCAGTCCCCAGGCCCATCCATCCCTTTTCTGGTTACTATCGACCAGAGTGTGTCTGTGAGGGTTTTATAAAGAGTTTAGGATTGAGGAGACCTGGCCTCATCCCCCAATCTGCAGTCCCAAAAGTGCAAAGGAGGCAGCTGGGCCTTTTGGGTACAACACCCCTTGAGTTAGGTTAAACACCCCCTGGGGGGACCAGCAGTTAGCGTAATGGCTATGTCGCTGAACTCCCATGTAGTAGACCGCGGTTCGAGTCCCAGCCCCGGTGGCTTAAACTCATGCCGGGCACCTGTATGGGTGCCCA